TCTATCTATCTATCTATCTATCTATCTATCTATCTATCCTAGTCTGTTCATATCTATCTATCTATCTATCTATCTATCTATCTATCTATATGCTTGTTTTTATATATTATTACAACGAGATTCACACTTTACAAAGCCTGGGGGCCACTTGAGGTGGAGTGTGTATAAAAGTGGTTAAACATGGCCTTGAAAAAGTTAAGAGTCGATTCCACATGGCAGTAATTCCCGGAAAGGTGCTGCTCGAGTGGAACTTCAACGGAGGGAATATAGGTGGTTTGCTACTATATAAATGGCATGGCGTGTTCTTGGTGTGAATACTTGCCTCGACGTGACCAGGGAATATAGTTCCTCCGAACACCTTCCGTGGAAGTAGCGTTAAACCAGCGAGTGGCATGCCACATCTCGCCTGTGGGAGAGAGGTTGAAGGGTAGGGAATAATTCGCCACCTACAAGGCTCGAGAGTGAAGCCTGGACAGTACCCGCTCAAATATGACAACAGTATTCCATTTCTGGCCTGATCTAGCTCTTGTAAAGATAGAAGATTCAAGGAGGGGATCAGATACTTACTGGAGCGGTACAGATAGCCATCCATTTTACCTGCATCCTTAGCAAGGGATCGTATGTACGAGTTCCATTTCAGGTCATGTGTGAGTTTGAGGTCCCACAGCCTTTCAAGGCACGTTGCTTCTCCCGGAAGACCCCCGTTCAACCTGATTGGTCGAATTTCGGGGTCAGATCGGCGATGATGGAACGTAACCAGCCAGTTTTTACCCCACTGCATAGTTTGTGCAAGATCGGAAGAGTGATCAGTCGCCAATCTCTGACCATGGGGAGTTTTAGAAGTGCGGCTGTATATAGTCGTATCATCTGCATAGATGTTTACAAATGATCTGAGTATATACTTAGGCAGATCATTCATGTCGATCAAAAAAAGGGCTGGTTCGAGGAGTGACCCCACCTGAGAGACGCCTGCGCTGACCTCTAGGGCTTCGGAAGTTTGGCCTTTGATAATTACCTGTTAGGATTTTATGATCGAGAAAACTTTTCCAGTGATTACATCACTGGGGAGCTTATGTATCAGGTCATCCCATAAGTTCTGTCCGAATTCTTAACTTTTTGTTAAAATGAACGAAATTTAAAGAGTATTTTATAATGTCTAATGGAGCTGAACATTATTTTTATGTTTAGATGCATTTAAACTGATCAAATTTTATTTCAGAGAACAATGAAATTAAATTGTGTTTGATTAAAACCCTGCTAACATGGAAGTACCCAAGAATCATTTGAGGCATATAATGCTTTATGAGTTCAAGAAAGGAAACTCAGCAGCCGAAGCGGCTAGAAACATTCACTTAGTTTATGGAGAGGAATGTTTGAATGAAAGAACTTGCAGAAGATGGCTTGCGAAATTCAGAGGTGGAGATTTCATCCTTGAAGATGAAGATCGAACTGGACGTCCAGTTGAGTTTGATGAAAAGCATCTTGAAGCAGCCCTTGAAGAAAATCCTGCTTTATCAGTTGAGGAATTGGCAGTGGTTCTCAGTTCAAACCATACAACTGTTCATCGTTATCTTCAACATCTTGGAAAAGTTCCTAAACTTGGAAAATTGGTGCCTCATGAATTGTCTGAAAACAACCTCAAATCCCGAGTTGACATCTGCTCTTCTCTCCATTCTCGCCAACTCGTTTCACCTTTTTTGGATAGATTTGTGACTGGCGACGAAAAATGGATCTTTTATCGAAACGTTAAGCGTCGTAGACAGTGGCTTGGTAAAGGGGAAGGGCCCCAGCCACAGCCGAGAAAGGAACTTCATGGACAAAAATTCTTCTTTGAATCTGGTGGGATCGCCAAGGAATAATCCACTTTGAATTCTTACCACCTAATGCAACAATTAATGCTCAAAAATACTGTCAGCAATTAGAGTGTTTGAACCAAGCTTTGAGGGAATAAAAGACCTGCTCTAGTGAATCGAAAAGAGGTGATGTTTCATCAGGACAACGCGCGACCCCACACAGCAAGAATCACGTCACAAAAGATCGAATAACTTGGTTGGGAGAAAATTCTTCATCCACCTTATTCTCCTTCAGACTACGATTTGTTTCGTAGCTTACAGAATCATTTGGAAGAAACAGCTTTTTGGAACACAGGAAGAGGTTAAAATTGACATTTGTGAGTTCTTCGAATCAAAGCCAAAAGAATTTTACAGTAATGGAATTAGTAAGCTTGTTATTAGATGGAAGGGAGTCATAGATAATCAGGGAAAATACATTGTCGATTGAATCTGTAATTAAATGTAACATTTGGTCACGTTTTCTTTATTCAAAATTCGGACAGAACTTATGGGATGACCTGATAGTAAGCCTTTGTGACACACATTGATCAATGCGGGAGACGGCCTTTTTAACTGCATCCTTAACAATGGATCGTATTTATCAGTTCAACTTGAGGTCGGGTGAGAACTTGAGGCCTAATAATCATTCAATGCACGGTGGTTACCCGAGAGGACCTCCATTCATCCTGATTAGTGATAGTTCGAGGTCACATTGCCGATGATGAAATGTAACTAGTTTGGTCTTTGAGGCAATTATTGTAACCAGTCAGTTTTATCTCACTGAGTAGTTTGTGCAAGGTCGGAAGAGCAATCAGTTGCCAATCTCTAACAATCGAGAGTTTTAGAAGTACACCTGTATATAGTCGTATCCTCGGCATAGATATTTACAAATGATATGAGTATAGTCTTAGGAAGATCATTTATGAAGTTCAAAATAGGGTAAGTCCAAAGAGTGACCTCTGGAGGACGCTTGCGTTCAACTATAGGGCTCCAGAAGACTTGCCATTGATAACTACCTTCACTGACTTCATTCACTGAAAGGAAGGATTTTATAATTAAGAAGACCCTTCCGGTGATTACATAACTGTAGAGCTTTTGAATTAAGCCATTGTGCCATACATAGTTGAAGGTCTTTTGAGATATCTAGTGCTATGGTCCTCGAGTTGTGTTTGCCGTCAAGAGCCTCTCTGATTCTGTGAGTGATGCTAGTTAGGACGTCGGTAGTGGATATGGCCGACCGAAAACTATACTGCGCATTGTTGAGAAGGTTGCTTATTTTGTAGGTGCTCGATGACCTTCTTATTTCCCAGTGGAAGCTTGTATTTGTACTAAGTCGGTTCTAAAATAGGTCCAACGTACAAAACGTTAGGAACTTGATATAATAGGTATTACGCAGTGTAATCTTGTTGTGGTCGCTGACTACTTTCGTATTCGACTAACTGTCGACTACTGTCGTCCGACATCGACTAGTATTTAGTCACCCCCCAACGAGGGTATCATGTGGCACAAGGCTGGTTTAACGTGGGATCTCCGAGCCCGTGGGATCTCCGAGCCCGTGGGATCTCCGAGCCCGTGGGCTCGGCCAAAAATATACCCTTGGAACCCGTATAAACGGGTTCAGGGGTGGTTTACATCCTCGAACGAGACTCCGCCCTTCGGCGAAGGCTCGTTCGGGTTCCTCCCAGCCCGAAAGCAGAGAGTTCAGCCGTTCAGCCGGTCGTCTGACATCAATTGACCCTTGTTTCTCTTACTGCTCCTACTTATATTAGGTGGGAGAGTCTATTAACTATAGAATAGGTATGTTTCACCATAACAATTATGGACTCAAAAAGCTTGCTGATGTTACTTAGGAGACTAATGAGTCTCTACTGAAAAGAGTAAGATGGCACGCCCCTTGTTCTTGAAAACCTGGTATACGCTTGACGCTTTCCCCAGTCTTGGTAGGACTTCTTCTTCAAGCAGCGGTAGAATAACTTTGCTAGGACTGGGGATAATTTCTGATTGATATTCCTTAAGGAAAACCTGGAATTTTCCCTGGAGCAGTGGATTCCTTAAAGTAAAGACCTTTGGTTAATCTGGAGACTTCTCGTGCTGTTACTGTAATATTACTGAAATTATGCTCGGTGAGATGAGGGAAATTACAGAGGAAACGGTCTTTGTCATCTAATATTTAGTTAGAGGCAAAGATGGAGGCGAAGAGGGTCGTCTTATCTGTCGAGGAGGATGTGTCCTTGGGGCCATTTAAATGTCTGGGCACAGCTGCTTTACTTCTGTTCATAATTTGGATAGTGATCTTCCAGAATCCACAGGATCCATTTCGTTTGTTCTCAACTTTGGTATAGTCTATCGAAGGTTTTAGCAGCGATTGCGGGCAATGTGCTGACCAGTTTTGGAACATAAAACGTTCCTCTAACTCTAGATGCATACATAAAACTGTGCATACATTCGTAAAATTCATCCATAATAATGAAAATATAAAACGATTGGAAATTTTATGCAATCTGTGCTGAAAAGAGAAAAAGATATATAAGAACATATGAAAATTATAAAAAAATTAATCACAGACCTTCTCAGTCATTTCTAACGAAACCTGCATATATATATATATATATATATATATATATATATATATATATATCCCAACAAGCTATATACGCGTATAAGAAATTCTCTCTCGCAATCTATCTATCTATCTATCTATCTATCTATCTATCTGCGTGTGTGTATTTACAACACACATATATATATATATATATATATATATATATATATATATATATATATATATATATATATATATATATATATATATAGAGAGAGAGAGAGAGAGAGAGAGAGACAGACAGACAGACAGACAGACACAGAAGGAAGGTGAGGGAGATAGATATGGGCAGACTGAGATAGATAGATAGATAGATAGATAGATAGATAATGAGGAGACTTGGATAGATAGATAGATAGATAGATAGATAGATAGATAGATACGTGCATACATGTTTGATTAAAAACCAACGAATGTTCTGTGTTTATCATTATTTGTTTATTTAATTTTGCGCTATTTCTAACCGCTTTTTTGATTTCCGGTTTTATTTTTGTAAATAAATCTCCCTATGTTTCAGTACGTTTGGCATATCAAAGACTTATGTTCTTTGTTATATAGTCAATTTATTTATTCATTTATTCATTTTGTCTTTAATATCGCGTGTTGGCTTTTATCACGTTTCGCCTACTCACCTGGGAGTTCTATTTTCTACTGTCAACCCTAGAAATGGAATTAAAAAAAAAAAATGAAAAACTTTCCAAACCAAAAGATCTACTCT